GCCTAAGCCCAGGAGTTGGAGGTTGCTGTGAGCTGTGTAATGCCACGGCACTCTACCAAGGGTGATAAAGTGAATAAAAAAAGAAAAGAAAGTAAATTGTGCTCTTTGGTTGGTTGAACTAAAATCTACACTGCTGTCCAAAGAAGGTTTAGAACCCATTACAAGAAAGAAGCCCCACACAGGAACTCCATATCCAAGTGGACAAAAAAATTTAAAGAAATGAGTTCTGTCAATGATAATCCACGGTCTGTTAGGCCACATGTTAGTGAAGAAACTGTAGTATCTGTAGAAGGAACCTTGGAGGAAAGTCCAAAAAAGTCATTAAGATGGGCATTACTAGAGCTGAGGCTTTCAAAGTCTAATGTGCATAAGATTCTGCAGGCAAGACTTCACATGAAAATGTACAAAATTCAAGTGCATCAAATGCTATAAGAGGATTATCATGCACTACTAACTTTTTGTCACCAGTTCGATGAAAAAAATGATGATGCGTTTTTGAGTAATTTAATGTTCTCTGATGAAGCAACATTCCACATTAGTGGCAAGGTCAACAGGCATAATTGTCATGTTTGGGGAACTGAAAAACCACATGAATCTGTTGAACATGAAAGAGATTCTCCCAAAGTTAATGTGTGCTGTCCTTTGGGAAAAAATTGAGTCATAGGGCCATTCTTTTCTGATAGCTATTAGAAATACTAGCTATTAAAAATACTGCAAAATTATTTTATTCCTCAGTTTGAACAATTAGGACTGGTAGAGAATACACTGTTTCAAAAAGATGGTGCTCCTTGTCACTTCATTTTGCATGTTAAACAGTTCCTGCATGAGAAATTCCCTAACAGAAGGATTGGGAGAGGTGGGCCATTTTCTTGGCCTTCACATTCGCCAGGTTTGACTCCATTGGATTTCTTTTCATGGGGACATGTGAAAACTAATGTTTCTTCAACCAAACCTCAATCTTTAGAAGATGTGCAAGCTAGGATAACTGATGTGATTGCTAGTATTACTGAAAATCAGCTTGAAGATGTTTTCAGGCTCGGCACCTGAGGCTCAAGTGGCTAAGGCGCCAGCCACATAGACCTAAGGTGGCAGGTTTGAATCCAGCCCGGGCCACCAAACAGCAATGACGGCTGCAACCAAAAAATAGCTGGGCATTGTGGCAGGTGCCTGTGGTCCCAGCTACTTGGGAGGCTGAGGCAGGAGACTCGCTTGAGCCTAGGAGTTGGAGGTTGCTGTGAGCTAGGATGCCAAGGCACTCTACCCAGGGTGACAGCTTGAGGCTCTGTCTCAAAAAAAAAAAAAAAAAAGATGTTTTCAGAGAACTACAGAATCAGATGATTATCCTTTGTATTAGTAATGATGGTGGACATGTTGAAAATTAACAAGAGCAGTAAAAAATGTGTTTCTTCAATGCCATGGTATCACAGCTCATAGCAACCTCAAACAATTCTCTTGCTTCAGCCTCCCTAGTAGCTGGGACTACAGGTGCCCGCCACAATGCCTGGCTATTGTTTTTTTTCTTAACAGTTGTCATTGTGGTTTAGCTGGCCCAGGTCAGATTTGAACCCGGCACCCTTGGTGTGTGCGGCTGGCACTGTAACCACTGTACTGCGGGCACCAAGCCTGTGTTTCTTCTTTCTAATCCTTTTTACAGATTCTTTCTATCAAATATACTTAACAAAGTTACAGCTATTTTAAATTATACACAGACTTTATGGACACCCTGCATAAAACCCTGTTTTACAGAATGGGAAACTAGGGCCTAGTGAGGTTGAGCAATTTTCTCATGGACAACTTCAACAAATTGACAGCAGAGTATTCAATCTCTAGTCTGACAGTAGGTATTCCTACTCATCTTGAAGTACTACCTTTATCTGATGGAAACATTCTTTTAGGAAATGTAATCTGGCTGCAGAATACAGGATGGATTGTAGGGATGGAGAGATTTGAAAGCAGAGAGACCATTTAGGAGGTTCTTTTAACAGAGTCCAGACATGTGTTGAAATCTGGCATAAAAGTGATGACAATAAAAATAGAAAGGTAGTAATTGTGTAATTCTTGTTTTATTTCCCTGCTTCTTTATGTTGCTTTTTGAGGGCACATGATATGATGAAATCTTCATTGATGCTAATTAATGGTGCTGTATGTTACTGAATTTTCTGAGGTGGTCAATACACATACTTGTTTTTAGAAATTCATTTTTAGTTTTGGTTTCTTCCGCCTGCCATTCCCTGTTTTAAGAAATTAACTTGGCTTGGCGCCTGTCGCTCA